ACCAAACTACACAGCTCATGTTTCACTGCACCACTGCGTGGTTTCACCAAAGAAATGGCGAGGTGTTGCTCCGCGGATGTAAAGAAGAGAGGATGTCATGAGTGCTGGAGTGTATCATCATTCATCATTGCCAGCTGGTGATCGTTTCTGTGGTCAGGTCGTCATTGTGGGACACATTGGTCAACGCATACAGGAAATTATTTGGGTAATTGTCATCCTTTGCAAGCTGCTTTGGGACCTATAGAGAGCACAGGGTGTTGAACTACACAAGTTTTTGTGCATCATCTGGACCGTGTGTCTGTCTTGCCACATGTCGCCTGCTCGAAGGCATCCATGCTGGCCTGCTGCTTTCGCTCCCGGTCCTCACGATAGGAAGGTTCACTGTTGACAGGTGTGTGATGTTGGAAATTGTCGCTTCAAATTTGTTAGTTTCTGCAGCAACACATACTAAATTTGGGACGTCAAAGCCAGTACTTTAAGTCTTTCTCGATCTGTTCCACTACCACCATCAACACAATCCCATGCCCCAACAAACACAAAAGCGGCCAAAGACTACCTGCGTGTACAACGGCACACCTCTTCAGCTTCTCTTCTTCTGGGATCCTCCTTTCTTCGTTCCTGGGACTGTTAAGTCACTGCTGAGGGACCATTAATCTTTACACATGAATCATGAATCTGTAGAATAGACTTTAAAGCGATTTAGTGTGACCCATATAGTGATCCCCAAATAGATAGAAACGGTTTCGAATACATCTTTAGTGGGGATCTACTTTGCTATCTATTTGAGGGCCACTATACTTCCTTCTTACGTTCTCCGTGGCACATCCATGGCATTCATCCTCGCGCGAACGGTTCATCCTTCGAGCCTGGCCTTGTCATGTCGTTCGCGATCAGCACGTTCGCGATCCTTCTCCTCTTTTCCTCGGATTGTCCCAAACATTGTTGCCACATTTACAAACCACTGACCCAGGTATCCCAGGTATGGATCTACTTCGGACAATTACGCACCCAGCGCAACTAGTTTCTAGTAAACCAGACTGCAAGATGGGCAGTCACAACTGTCCAATTGCCTCAACTACCGCCACTCGTGTTGGAATGGCAGCAAATGGGAGAACCATAGGAATAGAAAAATGAGACATGAAAGGAAGAACGCTAAATTCCCCAAAAAATCTAGTAACCAAATCATTAAGGTTCAGCTTCCTTCCTTGAAGCCTGAGCACTTCTGCATGCAAGACTAAGACGCTGTTAGCTAACTCACCTCCCACGGCCTACCCCACTCTTTTGAGGCTAAGAAAGCAATAGAGGTCCACCAGAGTCCCAAAAAGAGGGTCGTAGTCCGATTGCAGGTCACCCTTGAAAGCCCGAGGCACGTTTCCTTTTCCGCTCCTGGCGCTCCTCACGCTGAGACACGACACGATTTCAACAAAGCAAGCGTCTTATTTGGACGCAAATTGCATCGCTCCTAGTAGCTTGTTGTTACTAGTAGTAGTAATGTCCTTGTCACTAGTAGCGATGCACCTGTCACTAGTAGCTTTGGCATCCTATTTTTGGCTTTGACTCCATGATTCTTGGAACGACGTGATTCTTTTGACGCTGCTCATTTGGGGATTCAAGCCCAGAATTGAGAAACGCCGCGACCAATGGATGTAAGGAGACACATCGAAAGAATACAATTTAGATATATAATGCTATATATGCTATAATATTACAGTTGAAGATAGGTAAATTTAAAGATAGCAAAGTCTATGTCTGAGATGGTGTGAGTGCTTCTAGGTCTTGAACAAGTATTCAGTCAGAGTCTTGCTGACGGCAAGTCCTCCTCCTCTTGCCGGAGGCGTTCTTCCTGGCAGCAGATTGATGTATGGCATCACTCAATACTCAGGGACACTCTTCCAAAGCTGTTGGTCCACCCACGCTGCCAAAAAGATCACAGGCACGAAAGTGAATCGGAAAGAACATCTTAACCGCAGGGGCAGGGACCAAGACAAAGCCCTGATCGTGGAACCACAAAATACCAAAACGACTCCCTTCAAAACCCAGCCTCTTCAGCTGCCTCCTTTTTCCGACGTTCCACTAGCCTGCCATCACGAAACCAAGGCAGATTGAAACCTAGCCGCCTTGGGATACCACCGATCAGATTCCCTGAGTAGAAGCATAAATCAAACTATTCAAAATGCATGGGTTTGGGACACACACCCTTAGCAAATGCTAAACTTTAGCAAATGCTAAAGAACCACAGCTGCAAGGCCGGAAAAATGAGTGACTCGCCTGGCACGCCACTCCTCTTCTTCTCGCAAGCGCTGCTCCTGCGCGGGGTGAGCTGGCGAGCCTTGTTGTTCCTGTTCCGGTGAGAGAGCTTTACTATACATTCCAACCGACCGACTCACAAAAAGGCCCCACATTCATATTTGGGGTTTGGGGTAAGGCACTTGAAGGAAGTCTTTTCATGTCTTTTCAGGGCAAATCCAGGGTATCAGCATCTGAGCTCATTGAGACTCTCATCTGAGCTCACTTGACGGTCTGATTTGCTTCAGAATGCATCATCATTCAATGAAGTCACTCATATGGTGCCTAGCCTCGGCCTCCTTCTTTCGCTGTTCGAACGCTGCTTGGACCTGACTCCAGCTCGGCTTGGATGGCTTGGACATCTTAGTTTGCCAGCTCTTTTCACGACTTCATTTACCCTGATTCACTGAAGAGTGAAGGGTCTGGTCAAGGTCAAGCCCTGGCCAGAAAGCAAAGTGTCTCAATTTACTTCTACATTCAATTCTAGATATGTGTTCATCCAACTCCTTTCATCACCAAGTCTTTCGCGGACCCAAACAATTCTGTAGATTCTACAACGAATCCCCAAACACTCCCAGACCTTCTGCCGCTCGATTTCCTGTGCCGCCTTTCGGCGCTGTTCCTGGAGTCGGAAAAAGAAAACAAAGGCATCCCGCAAACGGGTCGAAGGTGTCAACTCCAATCAGTTTGAGTTTGAGTTTGTCCATCTGTAACGAGTACGTTTGTCCATCACAGCAACCTCGAACCCATCTCTTGGCCAGAACAGTCTGGTGGAAGGCATCGAGAGGCCCTTGTTTGCTGGCACGCGGCGAACCCGGGTTTTTGCAGGCGCAGACGTAGGTCAAATTGACAGGTGAGTTGTAGTTGTGGTGCTTGTGTAGCACTTTCAGGTAGTAGTGCCGCGGAAATCAGGGGCAGAAAAGTCGCCGGAATCGGTCGGTTGTGATCTCGCGATTTCTGTAGAACGAATATGGTCAGAGCTTTTGCAGGATGGGATGGACGAAATGGCGGTGGAGTGAAAGCCAAATTGGTAGAGTTGAATTTGGCATACTTGGGAACCACTGGAGCACCAGTGCAGGTGGTTAGAAACCGAGCAAGGAAACCGTAGAGCATTCCGCTTGACTACGCATGCCTCTGCGGTGGGGCGGAAGAAGTTGAACAGCATCAGAATCATATTATATATCATATTCACAAGGTCGATCCTGGATCCAACTTGGGAGCCGATGACCTGTCTGAATGGAACATGCCTTTATGTCCACATCCGAGGGAAAACTCCGGGTAAGATTAGAGCGGGTGCAGAAACAGAGCGCGGCCATTGTTTTGTGGTTTGAAGAATCCCAAACACGCTTTGCATCAAATGAAATGCAGGAGCATGGCGATCACTGGGCGAAGATCACCATGTCTCTGTCAGTCTCTGTGTTGGGGATTGGTTGAGAGAGCTTCATCAGTACCATGTCCAAGGTCTCTTGAGGATGGGTGTGTACTTGCAAACAGTTCAGCAGCCTATTCAGCTGGAGGAGGTAGCGCCGGTCAAGATTTGCTGTGGAGTTGCAGGTCATCAGGATTTGATGAGTGTATATATTATCGCTTTCCATGTCCCTCACGTTATCGTGCTTGGTGAATGCTATCCTTTTTTGAGCAACACATGAATTCTTATCCCATGATCACTTGCTGAAGTGAATATTTGTCATGTTCACTAATTTTGAACCCAGCTCGTGTGGCAACGTGCTCTTGCTATTCCTGCTGTGGAAAGGTCTGTATAACTATGAAACAAAGAGTCGACAAGTGTCGGTCTGTATGGTCATTGAGGCGACAAGTTTCGGCCACGAGATCTGCAGCGTATCTGAGTCTGCATATTAAACATATATCCAAGTTGTCAATTGCAGAGGCCAAATCCCTATGAGACGTAACTTTGTGGACTGTCATCCTATTAGGATTCCAACTGCGGATCAAGTGCTGAGTTGGGTCAAAGTTGACGAATTTATTGTCGTATTTTGAAGGTATGCCAGAATCGAGAACATTAGTCACAGTCGTAATAACATATGCAGAATCGTTGAAAACTGCCCGGCATGGCAATCTTTACCTCTTTGACCAAAGACTTGTCTTGTTCCAAGTTGCTTCCATATGTCTTCCCTTCTGTGGAAGAGAAGCCCCTGTGTTGTCCCTGGACCAAATGTCGGATTTAAACACCTGGCATGCTTTGAAGTCCTAATTTCAATCAAGAAGAGAAAGTCTGTGTCCTAGGTCAAGCTGGCTCTCCCACAAACTGCTGCTACTGTATTTTCAGGTGCTTGATGTGTTGTTAACTCCTAACTTGAAATCAGACTCAAGAGAATTCACTCCTCTTCCAAGGCCTTCTTTCGCCGCTCTTCCTCCGCGCGCTCGGCCCTGAGCAATGTGACAGTTTGGACTCCTCGCCATCTAGGCCATCCACAGGTCAAACTCCTCCAGCTGTTCCAATTAGCTGAGCTCCACACGCTAGAACGGCTTCCTGCTGGCGAGTCTTTTAAAGCGAGCCATGCCAGTACACAGCATCATCATGTGATTATGAGACACATATTTTTTCATACACATACTGAGTACATACTGCAAGTGACATGTTCTCAGAACACATGGTTCACTCCTGAGTGGCAATGACCCGGCGCCGCTCTTGCTCCCAAACATCTGGTGTCCTGGACAGCTGAGATGGAAAAACAAGGGATGTGATTGTCTGTGAAACCACAACACGTCTGTAAATCAAGTGGTATTCAATGTCAGTGTCAATGTCTCCAGGTTGCCAGAAAGCACTGTGTTTGGCTTCCGGGAGATGGAGAAGAAGATTACTATATATATATATATATATGTATATAAAGAAAGCGCGAAAACGACGCGTCCTTCTACATGTTCGCGTCAAGTCCAATTGAACACAAGGGGGCACGATCGCTGCGCTTGGCGCTTTTGGAAGGTCAACATCTGGAGGTCGCTCCCGCCCACGCAGCATCCTGCTGCGATCGCGCTTTCGAGGCTTTTCGGCCTTGAGAGGTCGCGTTTTTTTTTCTGCAGATCACAATGCAGTGACATGGCGAACGGAGTGACCTAAGGAAAAGTAGGCATAAGTCCTTAAGTCCTTATTCATCCTTATTCCATATGATCCCCTGATTCCACTCTTGAGTGTACGGATACACATGTCAGCAAGACTTTCTCACGTGTCCTATTCAGGTTCCAAACGCTAGCCGCTAACACCTTAGCATGTCACGGGCTTGCTGCTGTGCAAATCTGGGACCCTGGCTTCTTCATCGCTGCTCTCCTGTTGCTGGCGACGAACACTTGAGTCAGGGCGAAATCCTGTGCAACATCCTTTGTACCACTTTGTTCTCGGGGGGGAGTGGGTAACAAACATCCTCACGAGCATAGAGTGAAGCACTTGGTACCTTAGGGCGTCAGCGGCAAAAGGAATGGAGTGAAACACTTGGACAGAAGCGGCAGCGTTTCGCATGGATCGCACCGCTGAAAAGCGTTTCGGTGCCGTTGTCTGGCCAGGAAAACCTCTTCTTTCTCAACTTCACTATGGCATCATGGCATCTGAGTCAGGCCAGGCAGCCGCCAGAACACACACACTGCATTTGTACGTCCGCACATCAAGGAAGGACGTCCGAAAGCTATTGAATGCCCTAGGCGCAACGGGTCCACAAACCCAGGGCAACCGATCCAGTCCTGCTCCCCTGGGGCTGGGCCCCTGAGGGGGCAATCTTCTCGACCCAGGATGCCAAAGTGAACCTAGGGACGGCTTCGACAACCAACCGAAGATGAACCCGCAAATCAGCTGTATATATATATATATAGGCTATAGATACTCATAGATACTCTTGTGGATGTTACTTCACCATGTTTCTCAAAGTTCAGGAAACTGTCGTTTAGGTTGGGGCTGTGCTTGGACAAGCAAGCAAACATGTCTGTGTTCAAACTTTGTGACCTGGCCCAATCAACCAAAAATTGCCTTTAGCTCAAATTGTCACACGAAACTACACACATCTAGACACTGAAGCATCTGGAACCGATGGATGTGCTGAAGAAGCTGACGTTGGGTCACGAGTGCTGGGGATCGTCTGGAGCAGACCAAACGATACGGAAAATACAGGGAAAAACCGTCCGAGGAGCACTCTTCCAGACATTGCTATCAGCTTCGAAAGTGGCAATCACCACAGACCTATCACGCCAGCGCTGGCTACACCACTACGCAGTATCGAGGCTCACTTCACCATAGTTCATCCACGCAAAGAAAAAAGCAAGCATTAGCTTTGCAAACTTCCTGCCCCCCCGGTCTCAACAAAAGCGAAGGTCTCCACTGTATGCTATCTTGTCTTTGTCACTTTGTCTTAAATTGGACTGGGGATGCAATACCAACGTGCAAAGCCCATGTTGTGACACCCTCCCACACCGTCCATCGCCTGTCATGATCCACTTTGGTGATGCGCACCGGCACAAGCCGTTTCAACGAGGCTGAAAACCACTGGACGCGCTTGCCTCACGATCCAACTGGACTAAATTAATGGTGCAAGTCTTGCATATAGCTTTTTTTGCTCAAACACCTCACTGTACTATCGGGAACACTGTTACATGACCTCCATGCCAGAAGCGGAGGCAACAATATGTTCATCAGCTCTGAGGACTCGCCCTGTAGCACTACTGTGCATGTGAAATCGAGGGCGTTTGATGGTGACCGAAACGATGGAAGAGTGGGTAATCCTGAGCCGCAACTCCAGCAACTCCATCGAGCATCACTGTGGATTGAGTCCATCTTGGGCATCCGAACCGGTCTTCACCCACTTGGGAAGTCCCTGCTCCGAAGCCGCTTCCTAAGATGGTGGCTTGAAAGCTTTGATTGAATGGGCAGCAGTTTCGTCTGCAAAGAAACCTTGCCCAAATCATATGTTGACTTCGTTGGTGTCGAAATTCCTATCCACTGCATTCCACTGCAGCTACCCAACCAGCATCAAATGGATGAGACGGTGAACATACTGGTGCTCTTTTCGTCCCTTGTTTTGAAAGAAAGACACCTCCCAATCAGCCCTCTGGAGCCGAATTGCCTCACGTCACCTGGTTTTGAGAAGCCACGAGAAGCCAAACCAAGGCGCCGGTGCAGGCTGTGCAGGTGCTGGGACAGCAGATGTGACAGCCGAGGCAGCTGGTGCAGATGTCGTAGGGGCACTCGCATCAACCACCACCACGTCCTTGCTGGAGGGCACCAACGGCGAATGACTCATCTCGAGGCCTTGGGAACGTTGGGAACCCTCGAGGCCTTGGAAACCCTGGATTCAACAGGAAGCAGGCTACCGAACAGGCCTTTTTCGCCTATATCAACAACCGGTCCTCCTCAGAGTCCCCATCGTCTTGGTCATCTTTGTCCTGGGTAGCTGTCTGATACGTGTCACGTCATATGAACAGTGAACATGACACCCACTGTGACAGCGACTCAGAGACTCTCTTCAAAAGTCCTCACTCTTTTAATCTTAGTAATTGTCTGCCGTAGATTTGCTTGACCTGTGTAAGAAACATCGGACAGAAGACAACCAACACGAAATGTGTCTTTTAGCTCAGGCTCTTCTTTGTTGTCATTCTCTTCTTCACGATCTTCGACATCATCAACCTCCTCCTCTCCGTCTTGTTTTGTATCATGGTCTCCCTCATCCTTCTCCATCACCTGCTCTTCCACTGACTCCTCCTCGGCCTCTTTCGGTGCCTCGTCTCCTTCAGATTCAGGCTCCTCCCGAAGCTTCTCTGGAGGCTCCTCCACCGCAGGCTCCTCCTCTGGAGGCTCTTCCTCTGGAGGATCCTCTTCTGGAGGATCCTCCTGCGGAGGCTCTTCTTGTACGGGAGCCTCCTCTTGCTTTAGCGCTTGCACCGCGGCAGGCGCTTCACTTTCAGCCACTCCCTTCTGATGCTTGCGGCGGTCCTGAAGATAAGCTAGGTTCGGGTAGGTCCAATCAGCACGAGTCCCATCTCAAAAGTCAAAAGACTTGCTCAAGAGTCGCTTCAAGGTTTTGTTGGAATCCTCAACCCAGGTCAGTGAGCTCGTGATCGAGACGTGAAATGACAAAACGCCAAAACAACACTAACAAACGCTCTCCTCTGCCTTGCCTTTGGACCTGATGGAGGGCAGGGTTACGTCCCAGGAAATGACCATCGCTGGGGAACACCCTTAGCAGGCTGGCTTTCCATCAATTGCAGCCATCTATCAAAAGATAGAAAACAAGGAATTAAGGTGCATACAAGAATTGGTTCTTGTCAATCTGTCATCTGTGACTCCCCATGCTAGGACAAACAAACGTTGAACGAGCCTTGCATCACGACTCTTTGATCGATCACGCTTCTTTGCTTTCTCCTGCTATGCATTCCATGAATCAAACAAGGCATTAGTCAAAAGGGTGCAGGACTCACATTCATGTCATCAACCTGCTCATCTGCAGAACATTGCTCCAGCTCGAACCACATCGCTCTGGATCTGGACAGGGTCCTTCGTGTCCTTCTCCCGCGTCTCCCTGGTCCCCTTGTCTTTCTTCCTTCAAATCACCAGTCTCTCGAAATCACAAAGAAACCCCACGCACGATAAAGAACCCGCAGCAAATCATATCTTGCATGGAGGAGGAAGGGAACCAGTTCCCCCCAACAAACGGTGCTTCCGAACCCACCAAAAGGACTTCAGCACTTGGTGATATATAACTTAGGTATGTATCTAAATCAAAGCATGTCAGCATGTCTTGTTTCCAGCCAAGGAACTTTTGATCCGCTTTGTCTTTGTCTTGCTTTTCCTCCAGCTCATTCTGTCAAACCGCGAATAAAAGGTCTGTCTGTGCACATGGCGCCTTGAGGGCCTATGGATGCTGAACACTGTACATGGGGCTTTCTCACAGCACATGAATTATATACACAACAAGTTGTATGTTGCTGTTATGAAGCCTGATCAAGGCAAACGGGTTGTACTTGCGTCTAGATCGTCCTTCTTAGCTTTCTCTTTCTTCTCCGGTGCTTTCGCCGCTTCCTTTTTGTTCTTGCTCGTCTTGCTCTTGCTATCCTTCTCATTCTTCGATACTTTCTTGTCAACCTTGCCATCCTTCTCTTTTGTCTTGGAGTCTTCCTTTGTCTTAATTTTGGTTTCCTGGCGCAAGCTCTGTTCTCAAACCCTGATAAGTCAGGAAATTGGTTGTGGAAAAAGCATGTGGTGTGCGTGGGACCCCACAAAAAAAGACACCAAAATTCACAATCTGGAATGTCATAGCTATCATGTGCTTCACGCATCATCTCCTAGCCATCACCACTTCATCAGTGAGTTGCCCGATTCATGCAAATAATGAGGCCCGCAAGTGCTCCACCTCATCTATCTTGAATCTTGCACCCCAACCTGTGTGGGCATTTGCTTGCTTGCCTATGGAAAATAGCGTGACCTTGCAAATGCCATGCAGTCTCACAGTTTGTACAATGTCATGCAGTCATTGCACCTTCCAAACACTGGTTTCTTTTCTTGTCCAAGCAAATGAATGTCCGTTGTCATCTGCTCCAGTGGCCACGGATGCCACTGACGAAGATCCCCGCATTTCATGACACGCTGAATGGCACTGGTGCAGGGAGGAAGCTGGAGCTTCATGACATTGCGCACAATCAAAGGAACCAATTCCGAAGAGTAGCAGTTCTCTAAGACTTCTTTTGACATCAAGGCCTCTGGGTAGAGTTGCAAGCCTTCTGCTGCGAGGATCAAGTCTTCCAGGCTCGTCAGTGGGTAGCCAAGCTCAGTCAAACTATGAATTTGGATGTTGGATGTTGGCTATGGCATCCACAGACGGGCTCACATGTTTCTTAAGGTTTATATACTGTAAAATAGGCTCTTTCACAAGACAACCATGATTTCTGCTGTTGCTTGGCACGCGCATCAGTAGAAAGCAAGTGTCTGTGCGTCTTTGAGCTCACACTTGTGGCTAATTCTCGCTGTTCATACAACTCGACAATACTCGACATAGATACCAGGCAATTCATGAAGACTCGTTCTGAACGGGTCACGTCGCCCATTCCCGGTCGCCTGAGTCACTGGTTGTTCATGTCTTTTCTCTTTGGACGAGTCCAAAAGTTCCTTCTTCGGTTCTTTCTGCACTTTTCCGTCTTTCAACTGGCAGGATGATGCGAACTGTTACAAGCAGGTGGTTCACATCTTGTTGGTCCTCTTGTTAGTCTACTTTGCAGGATCGTAGCAGAACGAATTTGAAACTTGGAACAACCCTTTGATTTGCCTTTTGTTATCATTAGGACATAAAAGCAATGTTGTCCTGTCACTGCAGGACCACTGGAAACATGGTGCCTGTGCTTTCTTTCTTCTCGCCTCCTCCTGAAAAATCTGAAGAAAACTCGCACAAACAATACTTGCTGCCTGCAAATCCCCAGTCCTTCTCTTTCCTCTGCTGCTTCTTTTTTACCTTGGCTTCTCTTGCCTGCCGCGCTTTCAGCGCCTCCTCCTCGCTGGTCAGCCGCAAACTTATCGTCCGTCGTATAGCATCCTGCGCCCCCAAACTCACGTTCAGAGCGCTGCCAATCCATGTTCAGATCCGTGTTCATGTCAATTCCATCGCTATTGGGTTGGAGGCCATCGCTAATAAGTTGGAGGCCATCGCTATTACAAATTGTATTATGTATATATATATATTGTGAATTTGTATGCATTGGAACATGCATATCATGATA